CCCAACCCTACCAAAAATCTTTTCTGCTCAAGGCAGTCAGGCAAATTTTCCTCCTTATCTCTTTAAAAAATGACGATTTGACTGTGGTACCAGTTGGACTAGGCTTAAGAAACAAAAGATTCCCCCTTTAATTCCATGCTATCTCTACAAAACCACAAGGGAGAGCTAAGTCTCCTGGTTTATAGTCATCCTCAAAGGGAAAAAGTAAGGGTGTCCCTCAGCTCCATGACTTCTGTTTCTCAGTCAGCCATGTTGTCTCCTCTTCCCAGGTTGGTAGAGTCAAGGATGATATAGAATATTCATTCAAGTGCTAAGTCATGTATATGTGCACTTATTCCTTCATCAAGTATCCATTGATATTGAAAAAGCTTACCAAGTATGTCACTTTGCTTAAGCGGAAGTACAAAGATAAATGATCACATTTCCCTTTGGGTGAACAGATAACATAGATGTATAAAGAGGTGATCAAAAGATACTGAGTAATTATAGATATGTGTATATAATTGATAATTATAAAATAATCAATGTAAATGTAGATTATAGTGAAAGCAGAGTAGACAAGTAGCAGAGGTTGTATCAAAGCAGTCTGTGGTCGAAGTCAAGGGTAACTGTGCTTTGGGTGGCCCAGCATAGTTGCTATAGGGTTTCTTTTATTAAGGCTTGCAAACTAGTTTAATTTCTTTTTCCTTATTTCCAAGGATAAATACATAATCTTCTTGCTACTTTTTTGAAGGAGAAAAGTTAAGATTAGAGGGTCTCACAGTTTTCCTCTCTTACTCAGGGATTGATATTTCAGCTAACCAATTCCTGCCATGTTCCCTGGAGCCAGGGATGTTCTTCCGAAGGACAATGAATCACAGCTGCCATCTAACAAAATGTCTTGATCCCTCACAGCTGCCTCTTTCTCTCTCCTGGGGCTGAGAAGGAAACCAGGGATATGTCAGTTCTCATTCAGGTCGAGGAAACAGATGCTTCCTTTGGCCTTCTCTGACTCCTCTCTTCCTCTTCTCCACTTTTAACTCTTTGAGTCAGGAGCCTTGATCATCTGGGTCAGGTCTGAGCTTTACTCTCGCTTCATCTGGCCAGTCATATTTCACCCATACCCAATGCCAATATAGGCAACCCACAGGGCATGCTCTGTGCACAGTCTCTTTCCTATACTATGTTTTGGAAACACTCTTTTGATGCATCTGAATGAGAAACACCTCTATATCCTTGTTGCTGCAGAGCCAGACATAATCTATAAAGGCAATTGAGGTTCTAGCCTCCTGTCTGCTCCTTATTTTTTCTGGGTTGAATTCATGAAATGAGTCTAATGGTTAATTTACCTAATGTATAAGGTCTGCTTCTGGAAAACAAGTTTCCCCAGCCAAACAATAAACTGTGGTATAATATGTCCCAAGTTCAATAAAAATGATTAACAAGCAGAAGAGACTAACTTTATACAATTTAAAAAGTTGTACTTTTTTTCTAAGATAGTTAAAATTAAAATATTATTTGCCTTATGAGTTACATATTAGGAACCAATAGTTATTAGAAATACTTTTACATGAGGTAAAATTAAATGTATTTCACCTTCTGGTGCCATTTCTAGAAGGCAAGGTATGAGGGTTGTGAGTCATTTATGATTATAAAATAGCCAAATGCCTCATTGCTCTTAATTCAACCAAACTCATTTGTTCAAAGAAATATTGGCTTGGAAAACACCCAATTGCTTGATGATTATACTTAAAAAAAAATTCTCATCTGTTTACTTTTGAAAATGATGTGGCCCTCTCTAGAGGAAAGAGGAGAGAAAGTATTATTTTGTATCCAGTTTGAAAAGTCATATACTTATTAGACATACTCAATTTCAAACTGAAAATAAAAGAGCATGTCAGGAACAGCCTCATGTATATCTATATGTGCTTTGTCTGAGATGGCAAATGAAATACAAAAATTACTACCATAAGTATATATAGATAAATAGACTGTAGTTATAAATATATTCTACTCTTACCCAGTGAAATAATCCTGTTCTACCACTTACCAAATGAGGAAACAAAGTTTAATGGCAAAGCAGAATTTGACTTGAGAGGTGTGTAACTGCATAACCCAAGGTCTTTCTACTGTTAAATAATTTTTATTTATAATAATTGTTACTTCAAATATGGAGAAAATGCAAAAGACAATAATTATGCTTATCTGACTTGTCAGGGCAGATCTGCTTTTCGGAAATGAGATGAAAGTACCAAACCATACTACCCAGTGACATTTGACTCAAAGGTGAATGGCTGAGCCAAAAAGTATACAAGTAAAGGAAACTCCTCCTTCAAGATACCAAGCACAAACAACAGAATATCCAATCAAGAGCAAGATCAAGATCAGGGCATGTTTAAAGGATTTGACAAGAATGAGTTACACTGTAAGTTTATTATTTTAAAGTAACCAAGCCGGCTGGGTGGCTCAGCCTGTAATCCCGCGCCTTTGGGAGGCCAAGGTGAGTGGATTGCCTGAGCCCGCGGGTTCGAGACCCGCCTGGGCAGCGAGACTTCATCTCTAGAACAAATCAAAAAATCAGCCGGGCGTGGTAGCGCATGCCTGTAATTCCGGCTACTTGCAAGGCTGAGGTGGAAGGATTGCCGGAGCCCAGCAGGTCGAGGCTGCAGTGGCTGGGAGCAGCCACTGCACTCCAGTCTGGGCGACAGAGTGAGACTCCAACTCAAAAAAAAAAAAATGTTCATCAAGTAAGCAAGAGTTAGGTGGTAGTTGAAAATATGAATAGAGTTGGTTTTCTTTAAAGACAAATGGATTTTTCTTCCTTTTAAGAAATGTATCTTCTGTCTTAGAAGTATCTGATTAAAATTTTTACTATATCTTTAAATATGCACCTGTAAATAAATAAAAACTAAAGGTATCTTGGATGAGACCACTGTTCGTGGTATCTTAGATCTCTCTGTTAAATATGGTTTCTAAGAACAAATCATTATCACATTCTCAACTACTCCCTCAGTCTGTAAGTCAGTAAACCTAAGTGTAATTAAGGAATGAGACACACTTTGGGCTCTTAGAAAAAAGAAAACATGTAGAAAACTTTCTCACATACAAACAAAACAAAATAAAACAACAACAATAAAACTGTATCACAAGACTCTCACGCTAGTGAACTTGATGTTTCCTAAGAATTCATTCTGCTGTTGTTTAGTTTTGAGCAATAGGCTTAGGCCTTTTCCATGATAGAGAATTGGAAAACTGACCTAATGTTTCATCAAAGATAAACTTTATTAACAATGTTTCATGGAAGCAAATACAAATTCTATTTATGAAAAAAGTAAAACTTCAGTCAAGTAACTGGCCAACTCTTCCATCCTTAAAAACATCAACCCTTCATTTCTGATAATATGTGAAGTGGGAATAAGAATAAATCCTTTTTTGTTTTTTCTCAGAGCAAAGAAAAATTTAACTTGAAATATTTCCTGGGAGCTTGGCCATTTTCGTAATTTCAGAAAAATTTACTCCTGGTATATCCATCAAATGGTGATTTATTTGTTCAGATGTTTCCCACTCCATTATTTTCCCAAACAAGACAAGGATGGAGGTCATTTCTAGATGCTTATAAAAGATTCTAAATAATTTGATAGTGATTTAATCTCCTCTGTAGCAAAAACACAATTCAAATGGGAGAGGTCACCACCACTAGAATACAAGACCTGCAAGAACAGGGACAAAATTTGTCTTCCTTATCCCTTCCTCCTCAGGCCTAGAACAGAGCTAATCCATGGTGGGCTGTTGTTATAATTGCTGAACGAATGAATGAATCACTGGAATTATCCTTTTAGCCTTTGAAAGCCTTTATATACACTTTTTATTTGGGTTTTAAATGTTATAAAATATATATCAGTATTGAACACACTATCTCAAGTGTTTTTTTAAGTTGTTAGTATTGAGTTTGTTTTATGTTTTTCTGGGTTCCTGCTTGTAGTTTACTCCAATAGTGGAAGCTAGTGACTCTTTCTTCTATGAACTCCTGCTAGGAACCATGTCCTGAATAAATATAGGACTCCTAAAAGAATTGCCTTAAAATGCTACGTGATGCCTTCCAGAAGGAAATATACCTTGGCAGAATAATCATGTAAAGATGTTTCTTTTTTTTCCAATTACAAAATACTTTAAAAAAAAGAAGAATGTGAGTCAGCTGTGATGTAAACTAAGTTCATTTTCATTCAGTCCATCCTGTGGTGCTTTAAACTTTCTGGAGATTTGTCTTCTAAGTATATTACTCTTGGAATTTCCAGACTACATCTTTATTTTAAAATGATAAATTAAACTGTCTTTTTGATGTTAAGCTAAAGACATATATTCCAAGATTATATTGAATGTTTAAGCCATACCTTAGTTACAAATATTTCCTTTGAAACTTTCTGAAAAATATAAATAGCTAGATTGCAAAATGCCAAAGGTAAAGACAAAACCAAGAATCAGAAATTAAGGGAGTAACTTGGTACTTGAAAGATAAGTTTCTGTTGTAAAATTTTGCTTGTTTGGTTTTTAATAACCCTGCATACTTTACAATTTAGTAATGTTGAAATTCTGTTATCTGGGCTAAGTCATGAGTAGAGAGTCTGTTCTGTGAGGTTTACTCAACATCTAAGATTTCATAAAAGCAAATCACAGTTAAATAAACCATCACTCTGAAATCATGGAACCAAAATCCTCGTTTTATTCAAAATTGCATTTTGTAGAAGGAGGATCATGAAACTCAGAAAGCTTTCTAGAAGTGATTTATCCAAGATGCAAAGGGGCAGACCTCTGACTTAGAAGGGAAAGAAGGGAAAAGTCTCTTAACCTCGAAGCTACTCCTCTGCCTCCCCTCTTCTGCTTCCCTCACTCCTCATTAGATGGCACTGTCTCTCGCATTTGGAATTGCAGAGATTACAACTGAAAACTACTAAACTCCCAGAGATGCCAACCCCATGAGTAAAACAAACAAGGCAGAAAAGGAGACCCTGCATCTCACTCACCCAGATCAGAGCACTGGACAACTCGGAGGTGGCATTGACAGCGGAAGGGACACACTGGTCCCAGGGGCTCTAGGATCTCAGGAATATCAGGAACACGCTCCTCTGGGCCAATCCCAGAAGCTTCATCTTCTAGCATAAAGTCAAATAAGCCTCTCTGTTGAAATGGTCCGGCCCAGGAAACTTGTGCAAGCAGGAGGAAGATGATGATAGTCTTCATGATTTATCTCATGTATTTTCACAACCAGAGAGCCTAAGGAACAAATAAGAGGGTTAAGGAAGAGCAGTGTTGCCTTGTCTGTATGCTGTTTCTTATATAATGCCCCACAGTTAAGTGAGCATAGAGAAAGAAGCAAAAATATGTATATTTCATCTATTATTAGAAAGTAGAGCATTGAAAAGATATTTGAAAGGTGATAGGTTATAAAGTATCATATGCACAGCTATTTACTTATGAAGAGAAATCTGAATATTATTTTCATCAGCTTTTTTGAATATTGGGTCTGAATTAAGATGAGATACCATATATTAAAATCATTTGCAGAAAATGCTAATAAGTCATGTTGGTGTTTTCAACGCTCACTTAACACAAGCCATGCCACAGTCAAATGCAATTCTGTCTATACCCATGAGAGATCTCCAGTTCCTGCTTCAGACACATCTCTGGAAGCTCATCTCTCATCTCTCCATCCTACTGCATTTATCTTGGTCCAGACCCTTCTCATCACTCCCTGAACTATTGCAAGAGCTTCCAGCTCATCTCTGCCTTAAATATTTTCTCTTTTTCGGGTCATCTTCCACTTTGCTACCCGAATCATCTTCTAAAAATTAGTTTCGTTTCAGTTTCTACCATAAACCGTTTGTTGACTTCCCGGAACTTGTCAATCATGTCCACATTCTCCGGGCTGTATGTGAGACTACTCCTAATCTGATGCCAACTGATATTCTAGCCACATTTCTCCCCATTTTCTCTCCACTCCCAGCCCTCACCTCAACCCTGACAGTGTAAGCCTCTAAGCCACTTGCCATTTAGAGCACCTACCTTGCAGGAGTGCTGTGGAGGTTAAATGAGATAGTGAGCTTCCCTTCTGTGATCCCTGGCTCATGCAGGCAGGATGCTGCTTCCTCCCTCTTCTCTGCTCCCAAAGCACGGTTGCTCTTACCTCTTTTAAAGAACTTATCACATTATATTGCAATTTGTTGTGCGTGCTTGGACTGCCCCCCCCCACAAGACGATGTACTGCTTCAGGGCGTGTCTTATTATCCCTTGTTCTGTACCGGGCCTTGCACAATATTTTGCACACACATGACTCAATTGACTGTCATTTTATTAAGAATACAATTTACTCTATCAGTCTGATTTTTTTAAACACAAAATTTTCTCTTTTAAACATCAAATTTCTGATATAAGAGAGTTAGCAAATTGAAAACTTCAACTTGGTAATAAGCAAGATTCATTTAAAAATAAATCCATTGTCTAGTTCTTAAACTGATTTTTTAAATCTTTAATTTATTTATTTTTATTATGGAGATGTGGAGTACAAGTGAGGATTAACTACATGAAAAGGCTGTATGAAGTGAAGTTTGGGCTCCTAGGTGGCTTAAATTGAATATTTTTTATAAGCTAATAAACACAGGGAAAACCTTAATTGATTTTTATTTGACTTATATTTTATCTGATTTTACCAACAGGGAATTTGTCAAACACAAACAAACAAAAAAGTACAGTTTTGACAAATCTGCACACTATGCATGCATTTAATAAGAACTTAGAGATGTATACATCTGTGATTAAACTGAAGTTAACTAAGTTAATCTGAATAACAAAAATTTAATAAATCTGAATACTAAAAAGTACTAGATTTTATAGAAAATGAGTAGTCTGTTTTTGAGATGACATTTTAAAATCTCACTGAAACCGTTCTAAGTATTCTTAAAACATATGGCAGATATTACCTTCTGTCTTATTGTTTTTACTTTGAAGGGGTTTTACCTATAAGAACCTACATTAGAGCTGTAAGTAGAATTCAAGTGTTGTTTGAATCATTATCTAATTGTAGCATATGTGAAAGAGAGAGAGGAAGGAAGGAAGGAAGGAAGGAAGGAAGGAAGGAAGGAAGGAAGGAAGGAAGGAAAGAAAGAAAGGAAGGGAGAAAAAGAAAGAGAGAGAAAGACATTTGTGCCCTAACCCTAAGGTATCTTCTGGTAACTTTTACCTAGATTCACTAAAGAGGAAACAGATGTTTTTCAATTTCTTATCCTTTGTTGTTCTTAGTTTATATTTACTACTGAGGTATGTCTGAGGTAGCACACTAATAATACGGCTTCTATTGTACAATATTGTACAATTGTACAATAATACAATTGTATTGTATTATTTTTAAAACATCGTACATTTATTGTTGACGCTGCCACTTTAAGTTCAGTGTCAAGTGTGGTATAGGAGCCCACTCCCACTGAGAGACTGTCTTTCCCTTTAAGAGGAGAGACTCTATTGTTTTGGCAGAGTGCTCATTTGGATTGTAATCTCAGGGAGTGGTTTTCTATCTGTTTCACATTAAAATGCAATGTTTATGGTTTACCACAAGCTTGCTGGCCTTGCATATTTAATGTCTTACAATCTTAGAAGAAAAATGAAGCAGAGTAATTGCAGATTTAATAAATAACAGCGAGAGTTAATGCAGATGTTGCTTTGTAATCTTTTCTCCAGAGCAGAGAAGATTGCCTGGTTGTTTCACTAACAACCCAAAAAAGGAAATGTTGAGTGCTAGCTCAGAGAAGTCATTTTATCATCTATGTTTGTTTACTCTTGTTAAAGTGCTGAACATTCTCCACACAATATTCTCTTTGATGGAAGCTGAATGCAGTAAAGCAGCTTACAACTTCAATGACTTATTTTTACCTCACTTTCATTTGCATGTGTGTGAGTATTTGCATTTTAACCCGAATGCCCTGAGGAAGAGTAATAGCATGTCCAGAGGACTTATGCAAATTTCTCCATGAAATAAATTCTCTTAAATTAATTTCATGATACTTGAAGACACAGCATTGTAAGGACTCAGCTTCTTTAAGTAATTAATATTGACTACTGATATTGATCATTTGTTTAGTCATTTTCTTCCTTCCTTAAGAAGTCAGAAATGTAAACAGCAAAGAGAAGTTGCCCATGTAGAAATCAAAGAGATTTTATGGAGATGATATGCTTTGTATTGAAACTGTTTTAAGGATTCTCAAAATGTATAACACTTTCCAAGATGCTAATTGCTAGTGTAATTCCACTATTTCTCTAAAACTAGTTGCCATAGTTAATGAATGTTTTATCAAAAATAATAATTTCTGGCTTCTAAAACTACGTCAGCTCATCAAATTAACAATATCCCCCAGATCAACATTGGTATCATGTCATTTATGCCTTTGCTTTTAACTTTCAACGTCAAAATTTGACACTCAGAAGATAAGTAAAGATAGAAATGCAGAGCAAAATTAAAATCCCCCAGAAATAATTTAAGTAGAAATTTAATAGAAATAATGTAAAAATAAACAATAAAAGCAGCATTTATCCACAAACAAAGGCTACTATAGAAGGCATTTGGCTCTTTTTCTGGCTAAAAAAAAAAAAAAAAGGAAAAGGAAACAAAAGCCACAAGTACTTGCATCACTGGGAGCCCACTTAGCCAGTGGTCATCGTGCTACTCTGTTTTAAAATTAGAAAATTAACCTACATCCTCATTTTATAGTGAATATATCTATAATTAAATTTCATATGCATTTAAAATGCTGAGAGGGATGGTTCTTTGCATTAAGGAATTACACAACTATGAGACTATCTTAGGTCTCTAAGAGCATAAATATTTTCCATATTTATTTTCACCTCTCTGGTGATAATTTTTATTCATTTCTGGGCTTTAAGAAACATACATTCCATCTCACCAGATTCATAATCACCAGAGTTCACTTCTCTGGGGTTTTAAAAGTTCTTCAAGTATTCAAGAAATCAGGAGGGGAATAAATCCTTAAATATATAGTCCAACTACAAGTAGTATGCTACTTAGAATATTTTTCTGTTAGCACATCCTAAAGAGCTAAACATTTCATTAGTACAAATACCACGAAAAAAAATCAATATAGATAGTCATGGTGTTAGGTTACAGTTTTTTAATAAGTATCTTTGCAAGAACAGAAGAGAGAGAGAATTAAAACAATGCACTCAACCGTTTTACCGAGTATTTAACTTCTATTTTCAAGCAATACTTGTTTTAAAGGTTGCATAAAGATTATTAAAAAGTTTAGCATGATTTTTTTTCTTTTCTTTTTTTTCCTCACCAAAAGCATTCCTTTTGCTCTCAACTTGACCCAAGTTGTATTTGTCTGTAGCAGAGTTCAGGACAATTATTGAAAATCATACCTTTTAATCCGGGGATTTGCCACAGGAGCCCTCAAAGCTGAGATGTAATTACACTAAATATTCAGCCCAAGCAAAAGAGTTTGCAGGTGTGGAAAGGAGGAGGGGATAGGTGCTGCTCTGTGACTGTCACTAGGTTGAAAATCTCCTGCTTCTACTCCATAGCACAGTTAAAAAATAAGGTTTCCCTCAATGAACACAATCCGGCTGACACCCACATTAGATCATATGGTAATGATATGTCTCTTGTATTGTAGCCAGAAACTTTATCGGTCTTTTTTTTCTCCCCATTTGCTTTATTTCTTTTGCATCTGCTTAAGATTCTAAACGACTTTTGTAGTATAGAGAAGCAACTTGATTTGAAATTTGTCTTATTGCAAATTCATTTCCCAAAAATATTGTAACTAAAGGGTTGGTTTCCCCTCCCCCAGTCCCAATCCACTCTCCACCCTTTCTAGTCTTGTTTATGAGTAACTTTTATTATACTTCAGAAATGACCGTTTTTCTTGCTTTCAGGATGTGTAAGTCCAGAAGATGGAATGAAATTAATTTTGTGGTTGTTTTAAATGTGGTCTGTAAAAATAAATGAGTAGCCTTATGTGAAAATACTCATGCGAACTCTTACTTGCCTTGGAATGTTTGTGCAAATTTAAGTACTTTGCTAAGGCATTTTTCTATCTATTTTGAACATATTTCTAAAATGTGCTGGAAGAAAGCCATGGTTTTACACGCAAAGTATGTCATCTATTAATGTATTAATTACCCATAGCTTAAAATCTTTCCTGTTGCCATCTATTTAAAAAACAAAGACATAAATACTTGAAGTTGGTAACAAGATAGTTTAGTCTATATGTGAAAAATCTGATTTCCATAGACTGTATTTTATGTAATCCAGAAATTTGAAAAGGCAATAGATACTATGACTCTTTCCAAATTTCAGTAAGTGGAAAAAAAGAAAGTGCAAATACAAGGAAAGATATTTATTTAGCCACTGGAAAGATTTTTTGAGTTTTTATAATTCCCTTGCTGGATGCTGGTAGTTGTCTCTGTGTAAATTCTCTGTGTTTTGACTCATATCTCATGCCCTTGCCTCTAGGCTGTTACCAGATGGAAACTTGAAATCCACATCTGTGAAACTTGAGAGAATCCCCCTCTGATCCTTCACCCTCCTTTAGCCATCTAAGTATATACATCTACAGTAAACACTCATTTGCCTTGATAAAACGTAAAGGAATTAAATTCTTGAGTGGGCATGTAAAGGAAGGGGTGGGGTGTTAGCCCATCAGAGTTTGCTTTTTTTTTCCAAGTTCAGTGTCCCAGGTTAGCACTCCACTCCCTCATCTCTCCTTAAGTTAAATGATCACATGCCTAGTTAATTCTGATGGCTTAGGAAAAAACAAGCACTCTTTTACCTGGACATTGGTGCAAAAGTACATGGTCCCCTTACCTGGTATTAATTAATTTTCTCCTCTGAATTATTTTTGCAAGGAATTTATCCCTTTCTGATGATTTGTAATCACTTCTTCAACATATTATAATTATTTATGACATGGCTTACTCCAAGGCAGAAGTATGCTGTGTTCTTATCTGTGGAGTCCTTGCACACAGAATAGTTATGGTATATAGTACATTCTTAAGAAACACTTGATAAATTACTTAAAAAGCCAGTCACATCATGGACTGTCAAATCATGGCCTATACCATGATTATTGTTTTATCTCACTCCTGGTTTGCTCTGAAATAAAACCCAATTCTACTAAAGTGTATGTGATAAATAATAGCAATGATTATTGAAGGAGGGAGAGAAGAAGCAGGGAATATTAAAAGAAAAAGTTGAAGAGGAAGAAGGAGGAGAAAAAAGTGGTATTACCACTTTACCTTGGTATGTAGATTATTTTACTTTTGTAAAAGTGGAACCATTTTGGTTAAGGTTTACATTTTGGGGTTTCTCTCTGTTGGTGAACTGTAGGAACTCAGGCAATTTAACTCTCTGAATCTCAGTTTCTACATCTGTAAAATGGGTAGACATTCTTACTTAACTCATCATATAGGAGAGAAGAAGAAGTAAAGCAATAACTAGAGTATGGTTCTTATAAGGTAAGCACTCCACAAACATTAGGTTTCATGATTTCCTGATGTAAATTGAAGCAATCCTTTGAGTTAGGCAAGGGATATCATGTTTTCTATTCCCCTTTTACAGATAAGAAAATTGAAATCCAGTAACTTGCCCAAGTTCACAGAGTTGGTGAAAAACAAAGCAGAAACAAATACCCAGGTCTTCTCATACCTAATCCAGTTTTCTTTACCACACTGTATCTTAAGAGCCAACTCTTCATGCATAGAAAATTAATTATCAAAATTTTGGGGTTACAGGTCTTTGCAGACTATTTTAAAAACTGTGACTACATAATAATGCTTCTTAATCTTTATATATGTATACAGAAACAAGCAAATGTTTTCATTTTTTTATTTCAGTAAGAAGTTTATCTCCAAAATTTCAAACATGTTACCAAATACCATCTTATTTAAAGATTAGATTTTTAACCACATGTTAAGTTATATATGCTGTCCCATCCATGTTTTGGTAGGAAAATTAAGTCACTGTAAAGTCATATACAGTTAAGTCACAAAGAGGTCATGACACTCTCACCAGAATCCAGGGCTTTTGCAATCTAACATGAGATGGAACAATTTTAAGGCTAGAAGCAATATTTGTGTAGAGATAGCTTAAAATCATCCTGCCTTGGAATGTTTGGGGGTAGGATTCCCTGAAACCCTGGCTGTCATATAGATATTTGAAATATTCGAACTCGGAGCACATACCACTTCTGCTGTTAAAACCACTTAGACTTTGATTTCTACTGACATCCCACTCACTCACAGGGTAGCTGTATTCTGCGTACTGTCAAAGTTCATTTCAGGGCTGCTCACTCTTTCTCACTGACGTCACATACAAGTGATTTAGATTGTACCTGCACATTAAGGCTGTGAAGAATGCCAGAACTTAGAAGGGTCTCCTACTGACACCCTTTTATTTTCTAGGAGGTCTGGAAGTAGGTGATTATCTTCACAAACCTGGTGTGACTGGTTTATTCATAGAATGACTCTTCAAAGTCAGGTTGGGGGCTGACGTGGATTGTCTGGACCTGTATTTTGCCACTCTAGACAGAGTTCTTTCTTAGCCAAGGAGGAAGGCTAGGGTGGAATTGAGGGCAGCTTTGAATGCAAGATGGCTTGAAACAAAATATGGTACTTTGGTTGTCTTCCATGTTTCTACTCTTTCCACCCTCCCCACTGTGTTCAATGTCCTTGTATCTTGCACAAGTGACTTAATCACTCTGTTCTTCAGATTTTGAATCTGTAATACATGGCTAACCAGAGCACTATCTTCTTCATGAGTTTGTGGCGAGGTTTAAAGAAGATGATTACAGAAACATTTAGAACCACACCTGATGTATCTCAAACAACACAGGAGCAGTTGTTCTTGCTTCTGATGCTGTTTCTCTTATGTTTTTTGTTATTACAAATCTTATGTCAGACATTCTATTACAATAATCAGACCAAATCTCCTTTTATAGGCCAATGAATTTTCTGCTTAACAACCCAAGGTATCACTTAAACCTTAATGTATTTGGAAGAACAAAGACTTAGGAGGTAGATAAGTTTGGGTTTAAGACTTTACTTTGTATTGTTAAATAACAGCCTGGTTTTCTATGTGCAGAACATTTCATTGGGTTCCAAGTTCTGCTGAAATCCATTCGTGGACTTTGTAAGGAAACAGAGAGCCCAGGTTAAGAATTTCTACTCTGAGCAATAATGTAGAAATAGGAATAGATATAGGGACAGGATAAGCAGCAAATTAAGAAAAGATATAGAGCTGTGAACTTTTCTTTCACTGCAAGAAGGTATTCAAATCCTTAATTCTCTGATTCTTCTTTAATACTCAGAAGCATCACTTTTGTCAGTTGTAATTAAGAGATTAATACTGATTCATCAGTTTGTACTTGGACAACAAGCTAACATTTATTGGATATCTATTAGTTTTACAAGGCACATACTTCTCTGTTAAAAACAAGGAAGTTTTCAGTAACCAATCAATCAATTAATCAGCAAATACTGACTGAGGAAACACTAGGGGAGAAAGTGTCAATACCAGGCAGTGTTGAAGATACTGAGAAACACATTGTGAAGGGCATGACCTTCAGGGATATATGCTGCAAAAGGATCTAGGGCATAAACTATAGATTTCTCCAATAATATTTTAGTATTAGCATACCAGAAAACTTATAATGCATAATTTCTGGCCAAAATAAAGTATGATGCAATTAAAAATAATTATCTTAGCAAGTCAGAGGGGGGATAAGGGAGAGATCGCTTTACACTTAAGTGGTTAGGTAAGTGTTTATGGAGAACAAGGCACAATTTGAGTTAAATCCTGAGGGATAAAAAGAATGTACATAGAATGAAAGGAGAGAATGGCTTTTTATTCTAGCAATGGCAGTAAGGAAACCTCGGGGAAGCAGGAGACAATTAATAAATCAATGTGGCTTACACGGATCCTTCTTTTAAAGAAGCTGTGAGCTCCTTTATCATCCTTGAGTGTCCAACAACTGCCATGGTGTCCAACATGCCAAAGTCACAGGGTAAATGAATGCCCCATATGTATGGAAATTACTAAAGGGAGATATAGCAATAATAAGAGTAGAATCTAACTGTGGAAGAACTTAAAAGGTTCCATGGGGGCTTATCCATTTATTCATTCATCTGTCCAGCAAATGTTTGTTTGATGATTATGCCCATGACTTGCTTGAAGGTGAATGCTATCAAAGGTAATTGAATGAGGTAATCACATTATATATGAGTTTTATTTTAGAAAATCAGATCTAGCAAGTACATGCAGGGTGGTGAAGCTAGAGTCAAGGAAACTAGTTAGGAGGTTATTGCCTTAATCTCAGTGTGTTAATATCTTAATAACAGGAAGATAGGTGGGCAGAAATAGGGCCACTGCTCAAAAAGTTGATGTGCTACATTAAGTATAAATGTTTAGAGCATCCATCCTGTACCAGGCACTGTGGCGTGGTCCTTAAACGTACCACTTCAATTAAGACACACAATATACCTATCAGTTAGTCATTATCATAAACAATTTTCATAATCAATTTTAAAAGCACAGAGCTAATGAGGGTTGAAGCCGCGGCCTCTGAACATTGTCCTCTGTAATGCTCTAACCAATAATTCTGTCATGTACATGATGGCAGGGACAGTTGATGCTCTGCTTGCATTATTATCTCTAAGAAGAACATTCTTTCAATGGAAAGAGACAATAAACAAAGACGATTAAGTTAACCCAAAGCTATAGATGTACACAAAAATTACAATAACTGAATTGTTCTGTTTGAGTTCAATTT